TCTTTTAGTTATATATACTAAATTTCACATAAATGATTAGAGTTGACTTAATTGTTAGAAAATTGAGAAAGATATATAAAGACTTAAATTGGATCTTCATAATTGTCATTATAATATTTTTTATTAATACAAAAAACTAAATTTCACATCAAACAAACATTTCGTTGGTATTTGTTTTATTTATCAACATTAATTAATATGTTATCAAGCAACAAACATTTACTTATATTTTAAACTAACATATTATTTGTCAAAATGAAGTAACGTGACAAAGCAACAATTACTTTTTAATTTGTAAGAAATTTTATAAATCTAATTTACTTTATAAGAGCTTTCAATTCAGCATTCATCGTTTAATTTCATATGGTCAGTAAGTTTTGAAAATAATAATATTTTAAGGCCAAAATTTGAACCAATGAAACCACTGTTTCACGGCTTATGAGTTCAACCGGTTGAACTATGATCGATTAAAAAATAATTAAATTTATATTTTAATATAATATAAAATTTTAAGCAAAAAAATATAAAATAATAAGTAGAAAACAAGATATACAAAATTGTAAATTAATTTAAATAACTAAACTATATGTTATACATGCTAAAATTTAATAATAATAGATAAATAATTTATACTTTTGTGTAATATTTAGATATGTATTTTCTTTATCATAAAAATATTCTAGATTAAGTTACTATTTTTTTTTTTAAAGATACTAGTTGAAACCAGCCAAGTTGGTTTAATTTCTAAAACAATAATAAATATAAAACCCTTTCAATTGATCTCTTTATTCTTTTATACATAGCTTATGCACACACTCGCGAACACATATATGATTATTAACATGTCTAATTATAAGTCTTTATTTTACTGATAAATTGTAATTCCTTAAAGAAATACAAATTTTTGAAGGGAATACGGTACAAAAGCTTAAATATTATAACTTTAAATAAAGGAGTATTTTTGAGTTTTATAGATATAAAAAATGTAATTAAAAGAAGAAAAAAAATACTAAAAATAAACAATCAAATTTTGGTAGAGATTAATTATTAATAAATTTAATAGATGTTTTGTGTAACATTGTACGTAGTAAGTTAATTGTTTATAGTTTAGTTAATGCTAGAGAGAAAAGTATATAAGACTTTCTCTGAGGACAAAACCTCATAAGTTCATTTTCAAAGAAATTCTATAGAGAAGTTTTAGAAAGAAGGACTCTGGGTCCGTGAGCTCATTTATCTCTCAAATTTCTCTATTTGATTATTCTTCTTCTCTAGATCACTAATCTCTTCTGTCTCTTCTTTGAATTCAGGTTAGAAAGCTTGATTTTAGTGGATTGAAGTCTACAGGTCGACCGTTTGAAAATTCTTCTCCTTCTTCCTCTCTTAGCTATTCTAAGCCAATTTTCAAGTAAGGAAAGTTGAGTTTGGGGTTTTGGGTTGAAAATGTGGAGTTGTTGAATGAATTAAAGGTTAATGTTGGTGGATTCGTGAAATCTGCAATTGTGGGGAGGATTCAAGGGGGTTTTGTGTGGAAATTGAGGATTTTTGTTGTTCTTGAGGCAAGGTTAAAATGTGATGATCTTCTTGAGTTGTTGTGGATGCATGTTGTTCTTCTTGGATTTTTCTGAGCTATATGATTTTAGTGTTGGAAGTTTTTTAGGTTGCATGCCTTGATTATTGCATGGGTTGAGAGGATTAAGAGATTTGAGTTGTTCATCTGCTGGTATGAATTTTCTAGGTTTGGGATGTTGAGCGTGAGTTTTCACGCTTAGCGTGACAATTTGGGAGTGTTGTTGGGAATCTGGGGCTAAGCGTGGGATTATGCACTTAGCGTGAGAGTTGAGTTGTGCCTCTGGAAGGTTAATGTTGAGCGTGGGATTTTGCGTTGAGCGTAAGAGTGAGTTATGCCTCTAGAAGGCTAACGCGGAGTGTGAGATACTACACTTAGCGTGAGAGTTGAGTTGTACCTTTGGAAGGCTGAGGCTAAACGTGAGTTTCTGCGTTGAGCGTGGGGACTTAGTTTAATAAATTTCTTTTCTAGTTAAGTTGGTTGCTTACATGATAGATGAGTTATATGTTGTTAAAGTTGTTATATGTTGTATAGTTAGTTCATATGTGTATGAGATATGATGTAAATTGGTGCTTGATTCATATGTATGCTTGGTAATGATATATATGAATGTTTAAGTATGATATGATAGGTGTGTATATTTATATGAGGATGATATTAATCATAATGGTGGATTGACCATGTATGATGTTTGATGCATTATTTTCATGTGATGCCTTATGGCATGTGACTAGCTTAGGACTTGAGGAGAGGGAAAAATATTTTTGAACTAGAAGAGCACACATATAGTCTCTTGAAAGTGGTGCTTGGATAGACCACTGATTTTGGGTGAGAGTGGTGCTTGGATAGGCCACAGGTTTGGGTGAATCTCCTCTAAGTCCTTAGCTAGTGTTGAAGCGGGGTATGAGGTTGAAAGTTATTCCCTTAACCAAGTACTGGGAAGGTCGCATGGTTCCTAGCGGATAGGTGGTGGGTGAAATCCATAAGTGGCTTGGTAATGCATGCCAAGGTCGTGAGAAGCCTGTACCCAGTTGTACTATTCCAGACGGTGGAACCAGACTTCCAAGTGTGTAAGTGACATCATCCGAGTAAACCCGAGTGGGGATTAATATCCTGATTTACTGTGACCGAGAGGGCGCATTAGGTGTGAAAACGGTTGAAGTGGTTTCGGTAGGATGAGATGTCACTTATATTACTTTGTTGTTAGAAAGATCTCCTAGGTGAATGTGTGTCAATGCATTAGATGATAGATATGCATTGATATCTTTTTGTGTTGCTTAATTGCATGATTGTTGTTATGGTGAAGTATATGGTGTTTGACTTCATGATGTGGTGACTCGATGATTGTGTAGCATAGTTTGTTCTTATGCTTGTATGGTTATTCGTTGAATTCTAGCTTATCCTTCTATTTCCATGTGGATGAACTATGATGATCATACTTTGTATGACAGTAGGTTAAGATTAGCTTGGAGCTGTGGTGACCTTTACGAAGGTATGAGATTTTTGGTCCTAATGTCATTTTGACATAGGATGTATTAGTTATAGGGCTTGACCGACAGCAGGACATTACTTTGATTTTTAGATGATTGTATATATTTATATACATATTTTCTAGATGGTTTGTATATATAAATAAAGGTTTTATTTATTTTACTCGTATATCCATATATGCATTATTATTTAGTTAATGATTATCTTGATTGACTAGTATAGTTATATGATTCACAGAGTGTAAAGGTCATAGCAGATCGTTACATGTTGCACCAATAATATTGATAAAAAAAATAAAACACAATACTCAATTTTAAATAATATGCCTTATTTTAAGAGTTGGGTGGTTAAAAAAATTGATCAAATTTCAGAATTATATGACAGGAGATGGTGGTCATAGTTTAATATCATTGCTATGTTGATACTTAAATGTAAATATTAGTATATGAAGTATCTTTTCTCAGCTATTTCAAGGATTTAATTTTGATAGACACTTCACTTGAAGTTTATTTACATAATTTAATTTTGAATTACTATATTATTAAAAAATATTTATGTAATACAATCTAAAATGTTTCACTTTGTGGTTATGTATAAGCACATTAAAAAAAATATCAAACTTTTTATAGTTAAAATGCATGAAGAATAAGATTTTTTTATATTCTCATTTTATAAATATTTTTTATATGATCAAAAATATTTCTTAATAACCATCAAATAAATCTCTTTCAAAAAAATAAATATATAAAAAGTGTTATTGACAAATTGGTATAATAATTAGAGACTTTAAACTTATACATCGTGAGTATGATTTATTTAAGAGAGAATTATATTTTCATTATTAGAAAATTTTCATATAGTGACACATGTCCTATAATGATATAATATGTGTCACTAAAAAGTATTTTTACTTACATATATACTAAATATAATATATGTTGGTATATTGTTTAAAAATATTAATATTGATTATAATGACATTCAAAATATGTTGTTAAATCATATTTAAAATCAACACTTAAATTTTATGTAACTATATATTAAATAAATAAATATCTACATATATTATATCTAGTAACACTTTTTATATGTCACTATATATAACATTTTTTTTATAATATTTTAACTTCTAACATGTATAAAAAGAATCATCATGTTAACTACCATTGCATTACAGCAAAATGAGATGGATTTATGATATATTAAACTAGGAGATACTGTAAGGAAAAAAAAGTATTTATTAAAGAATATTTTTATAACAAAATTATAATCTCATTAAATGTAATTAATAACCAAAATCAATGTATAATAAGTTGTTACAACTAATTTTCTCCTAACATTATTTCTACTATATGTGTACTTCTTTTACAAAATACACTAAATTCAATTTAAATCAAACACATTTATAATATGATTTGCATTAAGATTTGAGAAATAGTGATTTTTCCCTTCTTTGCATGTGTTTTTTTTTTTTTAGTTAGCAAGCAATAACATTAATGAAAAAGATTAAACTTCTAAGTCTTCACATATATATTTATCTCAAACCCTACAACTAGGTTAATTTCAACTGTTCTTCTTCGCATGTTTATATCTAGATAAGAGAAAAATCTTCTCTATATTTATATTATAAATTTTTTATTTTTTATTTTTAATTATGAAGATATTTTGGTTGTATCTTGCTTTTCTTGTAACTTTACCATTATTCAGCTTATTTATACATATTTTAAAATTTTAAAATTTCATTTTATATTACATTTTCCCTCTAAATATAATTTTTTTTTAATTTTTAAATAATCTTTTATTCCAAAATTTGTCTATTTATTATTTTGTTCACATTCATAATTTATATGTAATAAACGTCAATAAATTGGTGAAAGCAGAATTGAGTTGACTCGGGCGAGTGGCGCACTCGTGTGCTTTTAATTAGGTCACAGGTTGGGGTTTTTTTAAGGTTTAAAAATCCTTGTTTGACTCAAAAGCAGGGAAGGGTGGAGAAGAAGGTGAAGAGTGAGTAGATCTGAGTGTGAAGCAAATTCTCCCAAAGTTTTCATTTCTTTCAATCAAAAGGGTCTTCAAGAGATGCTCTGAACCTTCTTCTACTTTTCTGGTTCTCCAATCACTCTCACTCTCACACTATGCCTCGCCCGTGTTTCAACAAGCTTGTTCTTCCCATAACCCTCCAATCCAGACAACTGGTACCCCCTTTTTCTCTCTCATTTAACTGCTGCTTTTCTTTTTTTGTATGTGTGGAATTGGTTATGTCATGTTCTTTGATTTTTTGATTTGGGGTGCTTGGTGAGGGTTGCAAGCAAAAAGACTTTTTCTGGCACCCCTTTGCACCAAGTTTGGATTTTTTGGTCTTTTGATTCTCTTTGGGGGTGGGTGGGGGAAGTGGGGGTGTTCATGGATTTTCTGTTAAGATTCTAGATAAAATGAATTGTGCTTTCCAGAAGTTTGAAGAATGTTTCTTTAAGGTTTTGTAATTTCTTGAAAAGTGGGGTTGAACTGAATGTTGGTTGTAGAATTAAAAGTGTGTGATTAGTTTACCTCTTTATCCTAACACTGCATGCATTACATATAAACTTTGCTATTGTCTTTGGTTGGGTATTCTTAATTGAACAATTTTCCCTATACTCGCTTTGTTGGTTGTTTTCTTGGAATTAGACTGTGGTGGGAGAAGGAATAACTACTAATTAGTAATTGCCTACTCTCGGAGTGATATATGAATCTGACATAACTAGTGACACAGAAATTGAGGATGTGCTATCATCCTGTCAGATTGATTTCATGATAAAATTTATGCTCTTGGGTGTATTTCTCTCTGTAAATTGTAGAACTAGTTGGTTATTTACATTTATATAGCTTTTTCCCACTTTAGGTTCTTCAGGGGAAGAAATAAAGTTTTAACTGAAGGACATTTTGAGCGTAGTTATCAATCTTGGCGCGTAGTGGCTGTCGCCAAAAATGCTATAGTGGTGAAACACAGCAGTTTGGCTGCTATTGTGATATTTTTTATTCAGATTATATCATTTACATTTATTTATATTTATATTTATATTTATACTATATACATATAAAAGCTAAAAAATTAGGTAAACTATGTAAAATTCATGACATGCTCATGATTAACAATTTAAAAGTCATTTTTAAGCGAAATTTACAAGTGAATAACAAAAGTAAAGGAAACAATGTCTTAATTGTTAAAGTTTGAAACAATTTATAGAAGCTGTAACCAGAGGCGCAACATAGAGAAGGGGAAGCCAATAAACAGGGAGGAAGAGAAGAATGAAGAGAGAAGGTCTTGAACAGTTGAGAAGAAAAGAGTGGAAAAAATACAAGGGGTTTGGATTTCTTAACATTTTGCAGTTTCAAGGGAAAAAATTGGCTTTCGGCCCACCAAACTGTAGCAGCACTATAGCGCCCCAAAATTCCACCTTTTCAGCTGCGAAAGCAGCTGTGATGTCCACAACAGAACAATGCCCCATGATGGAAGTTTCGTAGCTGTTGATGGCCTACGACAGTGTACTATTAATTAACTATGGTTTTGACATGTCTACTTAATAAATATAAATAAAGTTGTTTTGTTGCTTTGAATGCTAATTTCTTCATTGAGCACACTTGCACTTTCCCTTGGCACTTGTTCTGGAAGAAAGGAAAGAACTTTATTATACCGTTGAGAGATTTTTTTTTTCTTGTTTCATATCTACTCATGTTGGTTTGATTTTAATATTAGATTTATGCAATTGTGTTTTGAAGATATTTCCAAGTATTTGCAAGAGACTCTTGAAGGGAGTGAGAACCATTTTTAAGTGAACCTTAAATTTATGTTTGACAATTATATTAGAAGTTTCACTAGTGTAGTTACTGGTTCTTGCTCTAATGAGATACAATTTTTCGATTGCGTTAGCTGGCTTCTCAGTTGTTTGCTGACTGCTGACAATTTAAGAATGAGATTACTGATTCTTGCTCTAATGAGATTACTTGTTCTTAAAACACTAGGCTTCTTTCATAGCATACTTATCTTATTGTGGTAGCTATAGTTCTGGATAGCAGCCCCCAAAATGCTACATCAGAGATGGCTGCTATATTGAAGATTACACTAAATGAAATTTGCTCAAAATTAAAGACTCATTCATAAAAAATACTGAACAGTGAGTGGTTGAGCAGTAGAGCATAGGGTGGGGAAAAAGAACAGACCTGAAAACTGCAAAGAGGGGCATGCTTGAGGCTGAGTAGTGGCTGGCAGGTGTCAGAAAATGCCTGGAATGGCCAGAAACACTGGTGATTGATAGCCTTGAGCTTGTGAGTGGATGTGAGATGAACAGGGGCTTGCTTCAGATATGGGTAGTGTTTGGAAATGAATGAAGGAGGGTGTCAAACTGAAGGATGCCAAATATGTTAGGAAAATATTGAAATATAAAAAAATTGAGGTCTGTGATTGGCTATGATTGGATGTGATTTTGGCTGTGAATCTTGATTCAATGAGTGCATCATAAAATTGATCGGCAAATTGAGCTCTGTAGTAACCTCAAATTGCAAAACATTGATAACCTTGCTGTCTTGCTGATTGCTTGTAAGACACTCTGCACAATCATTGTTAAAATTCTATATACACTATGTTTTCAAATGGTGTCCATGGTGAATTGGTGTTACAGCTGCAGTTGGTGTGACAGATATGGCAGAAGACACAACTTTTACAAAGATTATTGAAGGGATAAAGACCCTAGGGCTGTAATTTATTCTTCTAAGTCTTGAAATATCATAGCTTATCTCATGTCACTCATCTTTTGACGAGTCCCTCCCAGTCATGCCATCTCTTGACAATAATTGTTAATCACATTCAAATGTGCTGTTCTTGTGACATTGCTTGTACCCCTTCTCTTGATGTTGTGTCACGGTTTGTCATTGTGGCTCAAATCGTGATGCAAATTGTGCCGCTAACAACAAATAAAGGCTGCTTCAGGTGTTTTAGCACAGACGAAGGTGGTGATGAGAGTGGAAGGACTGACGTGATGGTTTGGCTGAGCTAACAAATCTGAGCTGTTGCCAGACTGCCTCTACCACCTCTTACCGCTACAGACCTCCAACTCTTACATTTGTGATCTATATCATGGGGAGTTATGGTTTCATAGACAGGCGCCGACACTTAAGTAGCATTTGACGGGTCCCGGGGAGTTAGGGTTTCAGAGGAATTGGGCCAATTGGGCCAAGTCGCCCAACTGTTTTTATGTTTTTCTCTTGTCTTTGTCTGGGTTTCTTGGGCCTCAATTTAAATCCAGTTTAGCTTCTCTCTATCTCTGTTTTTTCCTATCCTTATTCTGAATTTGGTTTTTCTAATCATACTGTTTTTCTTTTACCCAAAAAATAAAAATAAAATTTCAGATACTGTTCTTTTAAGGAAAACTTTTAGACATTCTCGAGTCTCTTGTTCCATGTTATTATTTTCCTATCTTACTATCTTCCATTTTTTTAGTTTCTACATAAGTTTGATTTTTCATTTACAAATTTTTTAGGCAAATATTTTCTTTATCCATAAATTCTGTTCTTCCTAGTCAACTTATGCTATGATACTTCTGATATTATCCCATTAATTTATAAATTTGGATACTTTTCATGAGTTTTATGTTTCTAGTTTGTTCATCTATTTTATCAATTTTCTGTATTCATTATATTTTTCAATTTTAGTATATTTTTTTGTATATAGATATATATTTATTTTTATAGTTGCTCTGCTTCCACTATGTTCTCCAATGTCATCCATCATATTTTTATGATGAATTTTGTGCTTGCTGCCATAAGTGCAGCTATCTGTCATTAGTAACATTGCCTATACACTTTAAAGTCGTGTTTACTTATAAACATAATGCTATAATGAAGGTTTACTGAATTGCTTTAGATGAATAGCATCAAAATACTCCATTACATACAAGATGTACAATCGCTAATTATAGGAAACTAAGTAAATGGGGAAATACAGGAATATGACAGCTATACAAATAAGATGAGAATAATACTGCTCCTAAATAGATGATATTTAACCTAAAAAGGAGATACTTTCCAACACACTCTTCATGAAGGTGGGGTTAATAGGGTCTTACATAGGTGAGAAGGGCATGGTGGGCCCATTATTCTCTTCATTGAATTTCCCAATCTTATAATTAATGGCATCATCATAAAGTTGGTGGAAATGGAATCTCCATCTTCAGTCTTGCATTGTGAGCATTTACTAATATTTGGTACCTAACCTGTATTTTAAATTTCAGAGGATTCCGGATAGCTTTCTGAGGAAATATGGGGCCCAGCTTTCTACAATTGCTACCCTCACTGTTCCTGATGGTAGTGTTTGGCGTATAGGATTGAAGAAAGCTGACAACAGAATTTGTTTTGTTGATGGCTGGCAAGACTTTGTTCAACGCTACTCCATCGGTGTTGGATACTTTTTGGTATTCATGTATGAAGGGAATTCATCATTCATTGTTCATATGTTTAATTTGAGTACTTCTGAGGTAAATTATCAATCAGCCATGAGAAACCATAATGAAGGGCCTTGCTTTGCCAATTATCATCATATTTTTGATGAAATGGAAGATGTAGACTCCCTTGATTTGTCAGATTCCTCATCTCCATTCCTTACTCCTGGTGCATTGCAAAACAAGGTTTTTGCTGGATCTGTTGATCAACTGACACCTGGGAAGAGTCATACTCCAGCTTTGCAGAATTTGTTCAATGGTGGATCAAAACTCAATCGGGTAAACTGGGGAGATGGTGGGAGTGCATTTTCTTCAAAGGGTGCCAATTCACAAGGCAATCAGTCAACAACTAGAGACATAGGTGTTCAGTTTAATGCTGTTGAGTTTAAAAGGTCCACTGACGAATTGAAATTGCGGTATTCTACTAATGAGGAAGCAGCTAATAAAACTGCAAAAAAGAAGCGGAAATCAGAGCCCAGTAAGTTTTCTTTCTGTCTGGTAATCTAAGGTGACTTTTTCCTTTTTATTACTAACTAATTTGGAAACTATAGATGGCGAGGAACCCTCTGGTGAAAATGAAGAGGAGGCCGAAATGCGCTATAGATTTTATGAAAGTGCATCTGCGAGGAAAAGAACTGTGACAGCAGAAGAAAGAGAAAGGGCAATTAACGCAGCAAAAGCATTTGAACCGACTAATCCTTTCTGTCGAGTTGTCCTGCGACCCTCCTATTTATATAGGGGATGCATAATGGTGAAATGTTGAATTCAATTTGTGATTTATCATTATTCTTCTTTATCATGTCATCTTGCATACTTAACTCCTGTTTCTGTTTTCCAGTATTTGCCTTCGTGCTTTGCAGAGAAGAATCTGAATGGGGTTTCAGGATTCATTAAGCTTCAGTTGTCCAATGGTAGACAGTGGTCTGTCCGATGTCTCTATCGGGGCGGCCGAGCAAAGTTAAGCCAAGGATGGTTTGAATTCACATTGGAGAACAATTTGGGGGAAGGTGATGTTTGTGTGTTTGAGCTCCTTAGAGTGAGGGAAGTTGTGCTGCAAGTTACGATATTTCGTGTTACTGAGGATGCAGGGTTGTTGAATTCTCCTCCTATGCAGCTACAGCAGCAGCAGCAGCAGTCGAGCCAAAACATGAGCCACACCAAGCTCTTGAACCCTCACTTGCAGCATCGCGTTAGTCCAACCAAATTGGTTAGAAATTAGCAGGGAGAGTTAATTCCTGATAGCAAAACCGTGTCAATTAGCCCTTGCTTCTGAGTGATCTGTTGTTCATCTCATTTCTTCACTTGGAACTTTGATGCTTTACATGTTCATAAACATTTGAACTTAGTTATTGTAGTTTTGATACAAATATCTTTTGCTTTTGACTTGGGTTGTAAATAGATTGTTCATTTTAGTTTATAAAAAAACTGAGTCGAAATGCTTGTGTTATTGCAGTTGGTTTGGGTTATTTATTTTTATCCACAAGTTATCTTTGTTTGTAGCTTCACTATGAAGGTTTGATTCTACTTAGCTGAAAAAAGTTTTGAATCTGATTTCCTTTGAAATTTTAATGTGTGACGAATTTTTATTATGATATGGATTTTTCTTCCATCTATAATACTACTAGATTTTGAAACAAGATGTTATATTAATAATTATATACTTCTGACAGAAATTTAGTACTTAAAGTGGGAACTAAATATATATTGATGGGGATGCTACATAATGCAGTGATGGTCTAATCCAAAAACAAAATGGAGGAACATTGCTTGTTTTCTTTAAATCAACTGAAATTATTTTATATTTGACCACATGCCTAGAGAAATAAATACCAAGGTGTATGGTTTTTCTCCCTTATTTTTCTGTTGGGTTTCGTTAATATCACTCTTTTAATATTTTTTTTATATATATTAAAACTTTTAAGATTTATTTAAGAATATTAAGGTGTTATAAGTTTTATTGAAAGAAACAGAAAGAGCGAATAATAATAAAGCAGATTTGTTTATTTGTATAATTTTCATTTTATTATACTTTTACAAATCTTTGCTTGGCTTAAATAATTGATGTAATATTTAATTACTTTTTGGCTTGATGAGTCAGTTGTTGAAAATATAAACTTATTTCCTTTTGCGGAAAAGAGAAATGTGTTGAAATAGTAGAATCCATTAATTGGAAGGTAGGGTGTTGAAAATTGGTTTGTTTGGGCTTATGTTTGTAGTAGAGACTTTTTTTGCTAAATGGACCCTACAGTAGGGCGCACAAAGCCCTTGTGTGCCATGCATGGCCACTTATGACAAGCCCATTCACACATGAACAAATTGCTTCTTTACTTCTTTGGTTTACATTTACTTTGGACCTTTTTCTTTTCTTTTTCTTTTCAAAATCTCAAGAATTTTGACCCCAAGTGATATGACATGACACTTGAAGCCTGACTTGTTCTTTGTTTACATATTTTTTTTCTCTTTCTTTTCTGTGTGCAAGTGTCAAATATAAGAAAAAAGACTTTTTTTTAGTAAAAAGAAAAATATTTGCATGTCTCCATCTGAACATGAAATTAGGGTTTTTTTCATTGTTTTTTAATCCTTCTAGAATAAAAAATTTTGTGTTTAAATCAAAAATTGAATTATAATTTTTAATAAGAAATACGACCGTCAAATTACTTAAATTATAACTTTTGATAATTAATAAAAAAAATATATTACAATAATACATGTGTGTACACCATGATAGCATAATAAATAGATAATTATCATATCATAATATCCGGTCATCATAAATTAATAAAATTGTAATGTTCTTAGTGAGTGGGGATTTAATTACAAGATTTTTAAATTATAACGGTTTTTAAAGTATTTTCAACTATAGAAAATTAATAACAAAATTTGAAAAACAATAGAGATCTACAAACTAATTTAACTTAAATAATTGTACTTTTAGGTTGTATTTGAAAAAGATGTGAAAATTAATTTTTTTTAAATATTTAATTATATGTATAATCAATTATAATCAAAAATAAATTTTTGTTTGGATAAATTTGATGAAAAACGGTTTTTGAGATATTTAATTTTATTTAAATAAAACAAATAATCAATTTTTATATGATAAATTTGTTTAAAAAGTTAAAAAATTATTGATAAATAATCATAAATTTCAAATTTTTATTTTCAAAAAAACAAATGAATTTTTTTTCAATTGTTTACAAATTTAATCGATTATCTCAATCATACAACTTATTTTACAAACATTTTTTTTCTAAAAAAAATTGAAATATAAGATTATAAGCTGCCATACATGCCCTTATATTTAATTTATATGAAATTTTATTTGTTCTCTAAGTTTTGCTTTTAGGAAACGTTATGCATCATATATCCCATTTTAATTTATATGGAATTAAAATATAACCATAATTTAATTTATGGTGTGTTTAATTATTAGAATATGATAAACATTATAACAGGATATACATATTTTATTTGCTTCTTTTTTATATAAAATTTGTTTATTCTATCATTCACACTATAAAATTGTTAATAATATACTTTTTAATATACTTCTCTTAACACGCTCATTTTTATTGATTAAAATTTATTAAAAATTATAAATTTAAAAGAAAGAGTCATTAAATAAAACGTGAGATTTACTAAATTTAATATTTTATAATAAATTGTAACCAATTAAAAAAAAATATGTTTAAAAAGAATATGTTTGAAAATATGTTTCTCTTCTTATTAATTCAAATGTTATTTTAAAGGAAGAGTTAAGAACACATGATAAATTTATCTTATTGTCAATTCTTTTCCCTTCACCCACCTCATGAGACTTGAATATTTTTCATTCTTTTCCTTTTTTTTTTATGTCTTTTATTCTTCTTTATTTTTTCTCTAAGACTTTTATCATTTTTCCTCTAACTAGCTAAATTTTTATTGAACTCTAACACACTTTTAGGCACTTTTTTCGATGAAACTTTTTTTTAGAGGTTATATATATATATTTATTAATTTCTTATCTATTTTAATTTGTATTTATGACATATATTTTTAAATTAAATTTAATAACTTTAAAATAAATTATCAATAATTAAAAGTAATCTTACATCATAATATAAATGATTTTTTACAAAATAAAATATAATTTATATATCTAACAATATTTATTTATATAAATTTTAAATTAATATAATTTATATAATGAGATTTGAGGTATATAATATTTATTTTTACATATAATTTATTAGCTAAAATTAGTTTAATTTAAAATGTGCATTTTTTTTCTTCGTTTAATTTCGTAGCAGAAGGAGACATTAAAATTAGTTGGAAGTTGGAACCCTGGAGGCCAAGAAGTAATTAGCGGAATAAGGTCATCAAAATGAGTTAACTCAACTCAAGTGGCCAAATGATGAGTTTCCAATTGTTTGGTCGGTCAGCATCTAAGTAAAATTGTACGCCACAAAATCACAAAGCTATCACATTTTCTTATCAACCAACCACACTTCCTACCTTATCCTTTCCCTCCTGTGGATCCAAATACAAAGTCTCTTCCCAGTTCCCACATCACTCTAACCTCTCTACTCCAAGAACCACACCACAGAATACACAAAAACCCATTCCAGCTTCTCCACCAAAAGGTTAATTAATTCACTCATAACACTACCATCATTCATTGCACATTTGTCTCACTTTTTCTTGGTTTTTTGATTCAAGCCATCATCAATAAAGGTTTTTATTGGACTCGAATAGGATTGTCTCTGATAAAGAATACCTGTGATGTAGACAATTAAACTAACCCTTCATTTTGTTAATGTTTTCTCATTTCAGAAAAGAATGTCCATGGCCTGTGCAACAACTCCAGCCACAATCACTGTTGTGGGAAGTTCAAGTGTTGGCAGCAGGAGGAGTAGGGGGAGGAATGTGCACTTCATGAGAGGGCTCAATTCCTTTGGAGGGTTGAAGGCTCAGAACAGTGTGACATCACTAGGCCTTCCTGTGTGCACTGAGAAGTGCTTTGCAAAGGTTGTGAGCTCGTTGAAATATGCATCATCTAAGGGAAGAAGTGGTGGAGGTGGTGCTGCCTCTTCAACATGCAACGCTGCTGGTGAGATTTTCCAGATTGCAGCCATCATGAATGGCCTTGTTCTTGTTGGGGTGGCTGTAGGATTTGTTCTTCTTCGAGTTGAGGCATCTCTGGAGGAGGCTGAGTGAGAATTTCATAAACTTCTAATCACTTTTTTCATATATGTATCATTATCCAAAACAAAAGAAAAAAGTTGTATCTTTCTTTAATTCTTGATATTATTTTTGTACACAATGTGATCTGGCTTGTAACATGAAAATTCGGTGGGATCTATGTTTAATATGGACCTGGTTACTGGTATGAAAGCAAAACACCCTTTTGAAAAATTAGCCTGTTGAGAATTTGCTAAGTATGTAGGCCGAGGGTATGTTTAGATGAACTTTAACTCAAGTATTTTTAGGAGAAAAAAATAAGAAGGTAAAATAAAAATGAGTTTTTCTATAAATTAAAACTAGTATATACATAAGTTAAAAATAATATTTTTGAGAAACTAATGAAAGAGTTTCTAAAAATTAGTATATGCATAAATTAATTTTAGCTTGTAAAGAAGTTTATTTCATTTTTTCTCTCCTAAAAATATTTTTAGAGAAATTTATTCAAAGACATCATAAATGAGAAATCCACTTCAAATGGCTTGGTAATTGTTGTGAAATAGCTCAAGTTTTGTATATATGTTACAACACTGAAAACTGAAAAGTAACTTGTTTATTAGAAATCAGAAACAGACACCTCAAGTTTTGTTTTGTTTTTTTGTTAGCAATGAATTATGCAGAAGCAGAATCGATGTACATGTTTCCATTTCTTATGATTGAAAAATTGATCGAGATCAGTATTCCCTCTGATTGAAACTACTGAGACTAAAATATAAAAGTTTATGAAACTTTAAGAATTATTACATCAATTAAACTTTAAAAAAAAAAACTGTCTCAAGTACATAGTTGATAATTTTGTTAAAGATAATGTGTTAAAACTCAAGTTACAAAATCTAACTGAAGATATCTCTGTAAACCTGGGCTAGTATTTAGTACTCTGTGGTCTATATAGGTTATTGTGTTGTCCAATTTCAAGTCTCATGTATACCCATTAGGCCTAAAAAATGCAGGAACAGCCTGCATGTTTAACTATCTGGTTACTATCAATTATTGGCCTGCTTGAAAACTTCTTTGGTCATAGGAGAGAGTGTGAAATTTTTTGTGATGCATATCATATTCAGTCAACAATTTTGTAATGATACATTTTCTGACGTTTAGGGGCTAACATGTCCTCCAAATAATCACTGAAATTGTAAATTGACCAGTTCCCTTGCCTGAAAGCCAGTCTTATTAGAGTCACACTGATTGTCCAATCTTATCATTATTATCACTTTCTATGCAGAAATCCATAGTGCAAACCCTGTGTTCAACAAACCAATATCCTTGAAAGAGAACTGAAGTAGAAAGAATGAGATATGCAATCAAACTCTTTAAGATTGTGCTTGGACACAAAATTTAAAAATTATAGAGTATTTTGAATTTTAAGAACTTCAATAGCTTCAATTGAAAATTTTTCATTTTTAAAGTCTTTTGTTCGAATAAAGAAATTACCCTTCATTTTCAAATTTTTGTTTGTAAGATAATTAGATTTCTTCATTTGTAAAATTTCTTATTTTAAATAACCAAATTCTTTATTTTTTTAAACTTTGAATAACCAAATAGCTTCATCTCAATGTCGTTTCATCTGTCATATATAACTTGAATGAGTACATCTTTTAATGAGACACTTGCTACGACCTTTGTGAATGTCTTTCTAGGTCGATCTATCTAAGCTATCAGAAATTTCATTATAGTCGTCAGCAATAGTAACTTTAGGTTTTAATTTCTTTGTTAAGGTTATCACGAATATTCTCTATCTTTCCTTTTGTTCTCTTCCTCCGAATTTTTCATATGATTGTGAAGATATTTCAGATTATCGATTGGCTTGTTGAGAATTAGCAACTTGTCTATCTACACTTAAAAAATAACTTGTTTTTATAAACTATGTGTAAAATATTTTAAAAGAATGAAGTCTTTATAATTAATAAAATATAAGTATTTATATATTAAAACATCTTATATTTTAAGAGAAGTAAGTAATAGGTGGTGGGCATACACCCACAAGAATGAGTCTCGTGAACAGTGCAAATCCTTATATAAAAAGCTATTTTTTTTCAACATAATGTTCAAAATTTTGTTGTTAACTAAGTGAAATGGGACTGATAAAACTTAAGTAATTAATACTTTAACATGATTTTGTTAAAGTATAAAAATTAGTTAGTATATTTACTCATTTATAAACATGAAGAAATAGAAACTATAAGTTTGGGGGCGGGTGGTGGGATTGGTTCAAATCCTAACTTTTAATTTTTTTTTATATATTTATTATATTAGAATCTTTTTGTTTATTCATTTACTTCCTAGTTTGCGACAAATTTTTTATCAGATTTCAGAAGCAACTGCACACCATCTGAAAAATACTTGTTAATTGTTTTTACATTAAAATAAAAATATATCTGCATGTAATAAATGTATGCTTGTGAAATAATTAAAAAAATAAGACATTGATAATATTTAGTGAGTTGGGTTAACTATTATTATAATAATTTTCATACAAAAGAATTATAAATAAAAATATAAGGTGTTGTAGACAATGAGTATAACAACAACAAACAAGAATGAGGATGATAATAACAACAATAATATATATGGTGAGAGATCAAATTACACTATTGTAACTTTTATAACTATTACATAAGTCAATAACTTTATATAAAAATTAAATTTTATCGATTCAACCGTTAAATTATAACTTTATAATACCTTGAATGTTTATATTAAATTTTGTTAAAATTCAATAACAATAAGAAGGTAACCAAGTTATTCACACTTTGATTAATATATTATGTCAAATTTGATTTATACAAATAATGTATCAAATAATTTTGAACTAATATAAAATTTAGTATTTATGATCTAAGTGAAATGAACATTCAATCTAATGATGAAGGGATGGATCAAACTATATCAGTGTAGTTTTTACCAACTATTACGTTGTTTAATAAATTTAATTTGATGATATTTTCTCAAAATTCACTACTAGATTAAAAATCTATACATTTGTATATGAGGAGGGATTAAATTACATTAGTATAACTTTTATCAACTATTATACTACTCAATAACTTTCAATTAAATGATTCAAAAACTACTATTAGAGTGAAAGTTTATATCTCTTAACTCATATACAAATTTTTTTATAATAATCCAAAATTGTTTGATACTGCATTTACATAGATCAAAATAAATGTATCATATACATTTTAAAATATATTAAAATATAAACAATTTGATTATCATTTTATTATTGTTGAATTTTAACAAAATTTGACATATATATTCAAGGTAATAAAAAGTTATAATTCAACTATTGAATTTTGGTAGATTATAAATCCTCTTTATTTATTAATTTGTCTAGTAATTTTTTGATTAAATTAATTGATGTAATATATTACCAAAGCAATCTCTGTTATAAAAAATTAATTTAATTAAAATTACAATAGATGTTAGTATGAGATTATTTATACAATTTGTGCTCATCTCAAAGGAAGACACAATTTGACCAAATAATAACATGCCTTTGATGATAAATATGTGACAATTATAAAGTTACAATCATGTGAATAATAGTCAGTCCAAAGAAAGACTATTATTTGACAAAATTAATTATCAATATTTGATCGTTGTATTGAGAGTACCACTTACAAATTAATTTATATGTCCAAAGATAAAGATATAATGTTGCGTTAGGTATCTTGTAATTGGTCTATTATGTAAATAATCTGCATATTATTTTATTTTATTTTATTTTTCATTTTTTTTATTTTACTTTGTGACCATATAATTATTTGTATCCATGTTCTATTACACTTGCTATTGCCAATGTTGTTAACTTGTCTGCTCAAATTAATTATGTCCTCATGCTTAATGAGACAAACTTTAAGGCTTGGAATGAAGTAATTGAGATAATTCCTGGCTACATGAATCTTGATCTTGCACTTCGGGCTAAGAAATCCACTCTAACTTTGGAAAACCCGAATAAGGATAACGTTGAAAAATGTGAACGCTTAAATCGAATGTGTCTGATGATCATGAAGCAATCTGTTCCAGAAGTTTTTTGGGGCTGTATTTCTGAGAGCCATAATGCTAAAGGTTTCCTTAATGTTGTTAAGAAATATTTCACCAGTAATAAAAAGCTGATGCAAGTAGTTTTCTTGCTAAACTTATCTCTATGAGATATAAAGGTAAAGGAAATATAATGGAGTATATTATGGAAATGTCTAATCTTGCGTCAAAACTAAAAGCACTAAAGTTAGAGCTCTATGATGACTTACTTGTGCACCTAGTTTTGATTTCCCTTCCTACACACTTTGGGCAGTTCAAGGTGAGTTATAATACTTAGAAAGATAAATGGATCTTGAATGAACTGATTTCTCACTATGTGCAAGAGGAGGAAAGGCAGCAAAGAGAAAAGACTGAAAGTGCTCATTTGGTGTCAAGCTCTTAGAGTAGGAAAAGAAAGAATAATAAAGATGCCACAAAAAGAACTTCTCAGCAAAATCAAAGGAAGTAAAAAAGGATGAGAAAAACCTACTTGCTTCTTCTGCAAGAAGCCTGGGCACATGAAGAAAGTGTGTCCCAAGTACGCCTCTTGACGTGTAAAGAAAGGTAATTTTCTCTTTTTTATTTATTTTGAAGTTAATTTAGCTTTTTTACCAAATGATACTTGGTGGCTAGATTTTGGTGCTACTACTCACATTAGTGTATCCATGTAGGATTGCCTTTAGAGCCGACCACCAAGTGATAATGAAATATTTATCTATGTGGGTGATGGCAACAAGGTCGTAGTGGAGACTATTGGAACATTTAGATTATAGTTAAAAACTGGATTTCATTTGGATTTATTTGAGACTTTTGTTGTACTGTCTTTTAGACGAAATTTAATTTCTATTTCTAGTTTGGACAAATTTGATTTTTCTTATTCATTTGGAAATAATAAATTTAGTCTCTATCAAAATTCAAATGTTGTTGGTTCTAGTTCTTTAATTGATAATCTATACTTACTAGATGTAGTTAGTTCCAATAAAGAAAATTTTCACATTGATTCTCATGGTACAAAGCGTAAAATAAATGAGAACTTAGTCACCTTATGGCATAAGCGTTTAGGCCATATATCTAAATAGAGAATTTAGAGGCTTGTGTTATATGAGATTCTTGAACCCTTAGACTTGTTAGACTTTGAGGTTTGCATTGAA